TAGCAAAACAAACAAATCTTGCAGCAATTGTTCCTCCCTATTTTATTCTAGTTACCAAATTCCATTTTAGCATGTGCATATGTGTGGGAATAGAAAGAATCACTGCTGGCCGGGGTGTGGTGGCTCACGCCTGTAATCCGAGCACGTTGGGAGGCCAAGGCAGGCAGATCACAAGGTCAGGAGATAGAGACCATCCTGGCCAACATAGCGAAACCCCATCTCTACTAAAAATGCAAAACTTAGCTGGACGTGGTGGGGGATGCCTGTAATCGCAGCTATTCAGGAGGCTGAGGCAGGAGACTCGCTTGAACCTGGAAGGCAGAGGTTGCAGTGAGCCGAGATCGCGCCACTGACTGTACTCCTGCCTGGCGACAGAGCGAGACTCCGTCTCAAAAAGAAAAAAAGAAGCGCTGCTGAAGTGAGAGGCTCGGTATTTCACCAGTTAGAATCCCACTGGCCTCAGGAGACAATGAGACAGTGTCGGGTCAGCATTTAGGCACTGGAGGTAAATCCCAGGTTTCATCTTAGTTCCCATTTATGGTCAAGTTAAGAGACCAAGGCCATCAAAAAAGAAAACTGCCAGCTTATCCCAAACGCTTATCCCAAAGACTGGTAATCGGCCAGGTATGGTGGCTCATGCCAGCTGTGTGAAATGACGGTCAGTAGCGACATGCCTCAGACTGGGTATCCCACGGGTTTCGGGGAGGTGTTGCTGGTACAGAAAAGCAATTTGAATGAGAATTAAATACTATCTACTGAAGAGGCTTTGTTTATTAAATCTCACAGAATCAGGGTCCCACGGGGAAAAAATAAGTAAGTCTGGACAAAATCTGTCTCATCCAGCTGCCTCTTTAGGGGAGGGGTCTTTACATTCCTTAGATTGAAGCCCCAGAAAGCCTCAGCGCTCTAATCTCTGAGACAATCTGCCCTCGTTTGCAGTGTCAGTAACTGAGGCATGGGGATAGCAGCCGGTCCCGCAGTCCTCAAACCTGCCGACAAACAGCCATCTGATCATCGGGAGACAATACATCAAAACGGAAAAGACTTTCCAAAGGGACTCTAAGAGTTAGAATATAGAGTCCGCCTGCAGGCTGTATCTGAGGCACTTGACTCCAGAAAACCCTCCCTTGCAAAGAATATTCAATCTCTGTAAATCATCACTAAGAAACGCAGCCCACTTCCCAGCCCAGATTTAATGAACTCTCCCCACTGGGAAGGAATAGCAGCATCAGTCCTTGTTACATATTCAGCAGACGGCATTTACTTATTTATTTGATGTGCAATTAGGGGGGCTTTTATGTACACTTAGATGCACAATTAGGAGCACTGTGGGTTCCCCTCTGAGGCATTAGGAGAAGGAACCAGAGTAAATGGCCTGCCCCCTGTCCCCAAGCAGCCATGGTGGCTTCCTGTGATTCCTAAGGGTATTTCAGAAGCAGGGGCTTTGGCTCTGGGAGTTGATGCATTACTTTCACTCCACCGGATTGGTAAAGATTTTTGAACAAAATGAGATGAAGAGACAGGAAGGGAAAATAATATTTACAGGAAATATTCCATTAACTTGGCGTTGATTCGCCCCGCTAAATTATGCAGTGCAGTACAGTCACCTTTCTCTTCTGTCGGCATCTGCCTGGCTTGCTTTCTGCTTGCTGGGCCTCTGACTTGGCCGGCCTGGGTGGGTGCCTCCCTCATTCCTGCATCTGCATTCTGCTTGGAAACCACACCCTGTGCACACCTGGGGGAAACATTTCAGTTGATGCACTCAGCATTCTTAGCATTTTGCAGCCCTCCCTTCCTCATTCACAGGCTAGGACCAAAGGGCCTTCTCCACATATCTTATCAGTCCTTCAGTCTTTGAGGTCACAGTGCGGGGCTGAGTGGACCTGGAAGCTTTCGATGCCTGTGAGTGGCAGGTCCTGGTCTTGGGCCTCTAGAGAGGCTGGCGGCAAAGCTAAAGACCAGGCCTGCTTTGGGGAAGGGGTGGGGATTTGGGAGTAGAAGGTGGAGGGCACAGAAAATTCCAGAATCTGCTACTTAAAAATAACTCTCCAAGAAAAAGGAATCCTATTCTAAGAAAATTGAGATCTTCCTGTCAAAGCATCAGTCCTAGACATCTGCCTTCTCAAACCACCAATATCAGATATGGCTGAATCATCTCTATTTGGAAAAGTTATCCCAAACTCTTAAGACTGGTAATCGGCCAGGTGTGGTGGCTCATGCCTATAATCCCAACACTTTGGGAGGCCCAGGTGGGTGGATCACTTGAGGTCAGGAGTTTGAGACCAGCCTGGCCAACGTGGTGAAACTCCACCTCTACTAAAAATAAAAATTAGCCAGGTGTGGTGTTGCTCACCTGCAGTTCCAGCTACCCAGGAGGCTGAGACACGAGATTTGCTTGAACCTGGGAAGCAGAGGTTGCAGTGAGCCGAGATTGTGCCACTGCACTCCATCCTGGGTGACAGAGCAAGACTCCATCTCAAAAAAAAAAAAAAAAAAAAAAACAGGCCAGGCGCAGTGGCGGGCAGATCACCTTAGGTCAGGAGATTGAGACCAGCCTGACCAACACGGTGAAATCCCATCTCTGCTAAAACCACAAAATTAGCTGGGCGTGGTGGTGCATCTACTCGGGAAGCTGAGGAATCGCTCCTCTAGGAGGCGGAGGTTGCAGTGAGATTTTGCCGTTGCATTCCAGCCTGGGCAACAAGAGCGAAATTTCAACTCAAAAAAAAAAGAATGGTGATCACCTGAAAGCACTGAGCCGGACTTAGAACTTCAGTATAGGGTGTTGAATATGAAATCCTCTCCATTAAAATGGCACTAAACAAACTTCAGGCATTTCCAATTACAGATCACACTTTTGAAAGCATCTTCCCTGTTCCTTGACTTCCTAGTTTTCTGAAACTCTAGGAGTTGGTGAGGATGTGTCACTCTTCCTGCCTGGACCTTCATTCACTTGTTCAGTAGGTGGTGTCTGAGGGCCTGTTGGGTGCCAGGCCCTGCCCTTGGCTTTGCAGATACTACCGAGAGTGAACAAGAGAGACTAGAGCCCTCATGCAGAGAGCTGACAGTCTAATGGGGAAGGCGGTCAAATGTATTTGTTAAAGAAATCTGCAACATTAGTGTTTGAGCACTAAATTCTCCCATCCAAATACTAACCAGGCCCGACGGCACTTAGCTTCCGAGGTCAGACAAGATGAGGCACGTTCAGATCCGAGAGTTAAATTCTATGAAGACAATAGCTCAGAGTAAGGAAGAGTAGGAAGGGTGATGGATGGTCAGGAAGGGTCTCTCCGAGCTAGGTCCATTTCAGTGCCTCTCTACTCCTGAGTGTTGTACCTACCATTCCCTGGGAAGCAGTCTAAGATGGACTAGCAGGCAGGAAGTCACTGGGGTGTGCTCTGGGACTAACAACAAATGGGAAAGTAAAGGAAGCAGAACCCGGCAGAGAGAGAAGCTGAGCTATGGTGCAGTCCCAGCATGGTGTCCCTCAACCTGGACGAAGCTCTGAAGCTAGAACGACCCTCAGAGCCATTGCCATTGCTGTTGAGGCTGCGGGCCAAGGCTTACCCCCCAGTATTAACCAGTCATTAGATCCAAGTGTGCCCCTTGGTGAGAGGGTGGCAACCTTGGGCAAGGTGGTAGCTGAGACTGGTTCCAGGAGAGGGCATGCATCCTTCGGTCCTGCAGGGAGAGAGCGGCCCATCAGTGGAGCATGGTGTCTTTTACAGCACTGTTCTCAGTGTGGTCCTTGGACCAGCAGCATCCTCATCACCTGGAAATGTGTTAGAAATGCAAACTAAGGCCAGGCGCGGAGGCTCACACGTGTAATCCTGGCACTTTGGGAGGCCAAGGAGGGTGGATCACCTGAGATCAAGAGTTCGGGACCACCCTGGCCAACATGGCAAAACCCCGTCTCTACTAAATATGCAAAATTAGCTGGGTGTGGTGGCACGTGCCTGTAATCCCAGCTACTAGGGAGGCTGAGGCAGGAAAATCACTTGAACTCGGGAGGCGGAGGTTGCAGTGAGCCAAGATCGTGCCACTGCACTCCAGCCTGGGTGACAGAGTGGGACCCTGTCTCAAAAAAAAAAAAAAAAAAAGGAAATTAATGGCCAGGCTAGGTGGCTCACACCTGTAACCCCAGCACTTTGGGAGGCTGAGGCAGGAGGACTGCAGGAGTTGGGGACCAGCCTAGGTACCGTAACGAAACCTCATCTCTACACACAAAAAATACAAAAAGTAGCCAGCCATGGTGGTATGGCTGTGTAGTCCCAACTACTCTGGATGCTTGAGCCCAGGAAGTTGAGGCTGCAGTGAGCCAGGATCACGCCACTGCACTTTAGCCTGGACAACAGAGCAAGACTCCATCCCGAAAAAGAAAGCAATAGAAACTAAGGATCCCCACCTGAGTCTGACAAGCTCAAAGTGTGAGGATGGGACTCCGCAGTCTAATTCCACAAGCCCTGAAGGGAATTTGAGCACATGTGTGAAGCTTAAGGCCCACTGCTCTGCATACAGGCAGTTAGTGAGGAACTTTCTCTGTGATGCTACGTCACTGTTTCATCGTTGTTAAGAAAGCATTTTAGTCTGAGTTAAATCAAATCCTTTCTTCGCACAGTTACACTTTTAAACAGAGAGAGAGATGCTTTGTACATCCGTGACCTCCGTATCCACTCCAAGGCCCAAAGTCGAATTTTCTTTCCTTTTTCTTTTTGTTTTGTTTTGTTTGTTTTGTTTTCGTTTTTTAAGACAAGGTCTCGCTCTGTCTCCCAGGCTGGAATGCAGTGGTGCAATCATAGCTGACTGCAGCCTTGACCTCCCCGGTTCGAGCAATCCTCCCACCTCAGCCTCCCCAGTAGCTGAGGCTACAGGCCTGTGCCAACACACTTGGCTAATTTTTGTATTTTTGTTGCAGATAGAGGGTTTCGCCATGTTGCCCAGGCCCCCAAAAAAGAATTTTCTTGACCAAAGAATTTTGGCACTAACTCACTTCCGGGATATTTTAGAAAGTCATGATTAGAAATTTATTTAACCTCTCAGCGCCTCTCTTTTTAAATCTGTGAAGTGGGGACTAAGAGACACGGCGTGGATGTCATCTAATTTTCTTCATCTTGAGTAAGTTTACTTGTCAGAGTTTCTCATTCCCCAGGAGAAAAGTGCCATTGCCCTTGACATAGCAAATATCGTTACAGTCGCTTTTACTGAACTCAAGAGGCAAATGGCCTCAAAAAACAAACAAGGTCTCTTTGTGAAGAGGGTTAATTTTTCTCTTGGTCACTGGATCTGGGAAGCCAGGGTCCCTCGGTTCCCACGGGGTCCTGGGAAGATCATCCTGAGCCTGGTCTGAGTAAGCCAAGCTTCCAAGCGCGCCAGCCTGTATCTTGTTGTGTCTTCATTGCACCCATGCTGGTGACCAACTGTCACCTTTGAGGAATGCTGACCTGTCTATGAACAGAAAAAAAAGGAAAAAAAAAGCATTGCCCTGTTCAGGTGAATAATTCTAAGAAAGCAGCTATCACATGAGAGTAATGAATCTGGAAACTTACAGGAGAGGAGGAATGTAATTATCCCTTAAAGAGGGCCAGGTCTAAATCTCTCCTAGGTGACATCTTGGAAGGGGTACACTTCCCTCCCGGGCACCTCCTGGAAGGGGTACGCTCAAGCTCCAAGAATCTCCCCAAGCTTTCCCTGAGGTCATTCTCCAGGCCTGAGATACCCTTGGGGTGATGCGGACCTGCCCCCTGCCATTATTTGCAGGATATCTGGCCCAGCAGTCAAGGCATCTCACATTTCTACACGATTGTGAGTCACTTTCCTTGGCCTCAGTTTTCTCCACAAGTTGGTTGATGCAGATGGTCAGGAATCCTGAAGTTGAAGGAATCTTAAAACCAGAAACAAAGAGAAATAAAACAAGGTAAATAAAGCAAGGTCCCTTTAAAGCCACAGGGGAGTCATGAATAAAAGAAAGGATGAAAAGCAGCAGTTTCCCAGAAGAAAGCAGAAGAAGAAAATGCCAATTTCTTTTTTTTTTTGTTTTTTTTTTTTTGAGATGGAGTTTCTCTCCTGTTGCCCAGGCTGGAGTGCAGTGGCATGATCTTGGTTCACCACAACCTCCGCCTCCTGGTTTCAAGCAATTCTCCTGCCTCAGCCTCCTGAGTAGCTAGGATTACAGGCATGTGCCATCATGCCTGGCTAATTGTTTTTTTTGTATTTTTGGTAGAGACAGGGTTCCCCCATGTTGGTCAGGCTAGTTTTGAACTCCTGACTTCAGGTGATCCACCTGCCTCGGCCTCCCAAAGTACTGGAATTACAGGCGTGACCCACCGCACCTGGCCAAAAATGCCAATTTCTAAGTGGGTAACCCCACATCTGTCTTTGACTTCCACACAACCAGTGCTTAAGCTAGATGTGATGAAATAGCTGAAAGCACCTTTTCTACTGCAGCTGGTATGTCTTTGGGGCTATGTGGTCTCCTGGGATTCATCTGCTTCCCACATCATGCCTGGTCTCCTCCACTTGCTGTTCTCCCTGTCTCTGAAGAGGCCACATAAATAGCCACGTTGATTGTGTGGACAGTAGGGGTCAAACACAACACTTGGTATTTATTATATGCAAATAAACACCCAGCCAGACGACCCAGCAGCCACCCTGAGACTGGCTGTCTTCTAAATAACTCTACCAAGGGAGGTTCCCACTACTCAGGGAACCCCGTTGTCCTTGGATGAATTTGAAGAAGCAAATCAAAACCAAATGCTGTCATCGGCTCCCAAACCACTGCAGGGGAGCTTCCCATCGCCTCGCTCCTCCAAAAGAAGTCATGAACCAGTAGTAATTTACGAACAGATCTAATTTCTCTGTCTGAAAATCAGAAGACTTTGCTAGTATAAGAACAATGACCACCTGGGACTCAAAAGACACATTATCTTTTATCTCCCAGTGTTCCTTTGAATGTATTCTTTCCTTGCCTCTCAATCAAAACACAGGCAGTCCCTTGACTTTTCTGATCCTTCCCGGGTATTATGAAGTCACCCAGTCACTTTAAATAGCAAAATAAGCTTTTCTTTTTTTGAGACAGAGTCTTGCTCTGTCACCCAGGCTGGAGTGCAGTGGCGCCATCTCGGCTCACTGAAACCTCTGCCTCCTGGATTCAAGTGATTCTTCAGCCTCAGCCTCCTGAGTAGCTGGGACTGCAGGCACGCGGCACCATGCCTGGCTAATTTTTTATACTTTTAGTGAAGACGGGGTTTCACCATGTTGGCCAGGATGGTCTCCATCTCCTGACTCATGATCCACCTGCTTTGGCCTCCCAAAGTTCTGAAATTACAGGCATGAACCACCACACCTAGCTGCAAAATAAGCTTTTAAGAATTGAGTGGCCAGTTCTTTATGATAATCAAGGCTTCAAACTTGCTGTAAAGTTAAATCTCTCCATTCTCCCATCTGGGCTCCATCCTGCTTCAGTTTGTCTGATGTTGGGGACAACTATTAAGCTCTCCAGGTAACCCTAATGGACCCTGTCCTACTAGCTCCAAGGAGAACAGTTCATCTTCCACCTTCCCCTGTGGGTAGCAGCGAGCTCACAGAATATCTCCCTCTCAAGAACATTTCTAAAAATGCCCTCGCAGTTTCCATCCTCCCAAACATTTTATACCACAATTGTGGGTAAGGGGTTTTGGGGGTCATCTAACAAGATTTTTTCAAATGGTGATAAAATGCACACATCATAAAATCTACCATTGTAACCATTTTTCAGCAGCCAGTTCAGTAATGTATATTCCCATCATTGTACAATGGATCTTTAGAACGCTTGTCATCTTGCAAAGCTGAAACTTTACCCATGAAACAGTCACTCCCCTTTCCTCTCCCCTCAGCTGCTGGGAACCATCATTCTACTTTCTGTTGGATGGAAATAGAATCAAAGTCATTTGTCTTTCTGTTGAAGTGGAATCAAAATTATTTGTCTTTTAGTAACCATAGGGTTTTAATACACAAACCAAGATACCACTGCAGGTGAAAAGAGGGATTAGTGAATAATTATCCCATGATGTCAAACAAATCAGGACTGTGACTGGCAAACAAAGGCTTGTGTTGACCTGGCTAACCAGCATGGGGACATAGCTAACCAGCATAGGGACATAGCTAACCAGCATACGGACATAGCTAACCAGCATAGGGACATAGCTAACCAGCATGGGGACATAGCTAACCAGCATGGGGACGTAGCTAACCAGCATGGGGACATAGCTAACCAGCATAGGGACATAGCTAACCAGCATAGGGACGTAGCTAACCAGCATGGGGACGTAGCTAACCAGCATGGGGACGTAGCTAACCAGCATGGAGACCTAGCTAACCAGCATAGGGATGTAGCTAACCAGCATGGAGACCTAGCTAACCAGCATAGGGACCTAGCTAACCAGCATGGAGACCTAGCTAATCAGCATGGTGACCTAGCTAACCAGCATAGGGACCTAGCTAACCAGCATGGAGACTTAGCTAACTAGCATGGAGACCTAGCTAACCAGCTCTTGGCCCCTTGCTTTCCACCTCTCCTATCGAATGTTCTGCGCACAGCCCCCTTGAGTGATACTGCTTATCATAAAGTGTCAGCCAGGACTTCCAGTTTACTATCTTGTGGCTGTAGTTGGTGGTGGTGAAGTTACCCACAGATAGCAGAATTCATGACAAACGTGTATAGGTGAGAATCAAAGCAGTGATTGGAGAGACTTCAAAGAGCTCCATGAGGTCGGGCACAGTGGCTCACGCCTGTAATCTCAACACTTTGGGAGATTGAGGCAGGAGGATTGCTTGAGCCTAGGAGTTCAAGACCAGCCTGGACAACAGAGAGAGACCCTTGACTCTACAAAAAAAAATTGTTTGATTAGCTGGGCGTGGTGGCACATGCTTGTAGTCCCAGCTACTTGGGTGGCTGAGGTGGGAAGATTGTTTGAGCCCGGGAGTTCGAGGCTGCAGTGAGCTATCATCACGTCACTGCACTCCAGCCTGGGCAACAGAGCAAGACCCTGAGTCAGAAAAACAAAACAGAAAAGAGCCGTGGCCAGTGAAATGGTCCATCCAACCACCCAATTATTTCTCTCTAGTTTTTCCAACAGGTGTTTCTAGTGGCTGCACGGGGTTTTGCAGATCTCTTCACCAATGCTTATAATCTTCCTGGAAGGTGTACACTGGCATCGGCTGCACTGCATGGGGTCCCTGTACCCCCTGGAGCGAGCACAGACTCCTTGCCGTGGGTGTCTCTTCTCTGGCTTTTGAACAGGCAGGCCAAGAGCCAGAGGAGCTCTCCCTGCAGCCTCTCCCATCCTCACATTTTTCTGAAAATCAAATCCCAGTCCTACCTTTAATGAGCATTAGAAGTCACAGCAGAGAAAATTTCCTCTGCATGTGTGTATATTTTTAGGCATGCACATGTGTATTTTTTAAATTTTTTTTTTTTAAGACGGACTCTTGCTCTGTTGCTCTATCACCCATGCTAGAGTGCAGTGATGTGATCTCAGCTCACTGCAACCTCTGCCTCCTGGATTCAAGCAATTCTCCTGCCTCAGCCTCCTGAGTAGCCAGGACTACAGGTGCACGCCACCATGCCCGACTAATTTTTGTATTTTAGTAGAGATGAGGTTTCACTATGTTGGCCAGACTGGTCTCGAACTCCTGATCTCAGGTGATCCTCCCACCGCAGCCTCCCAAAGTTCTTGGATTACAGGTGTGAGCCACTGGGCCCAACCAGAGTTTTGTTGAGTTTTAATCAAAGACTGTCTTGTGATCTGTGATTAATCCAGGCTAGGATTCAGCAGGCAAAGGAGTAGAAGGCCATGAGGGGAACACCTCGTCACTGTCCATTTCTCCCCATCCCCCAAAGCCCAAGGCACCCACTCATCTATTCTCTCTCTATGGATTTGCCTGTTCTGGAAATGAAACCATATAGCATATGGCCATTCGTTGTCTGGCTTCTTTGACTTAGCAAATATTTGCAAGGTTCATCCCTGTTGCAGTGTGCATTAATACCACATTCCTTTTTTAGGGCTGCATAATATTCTATCATCCTTTGATGTTTATTTCGGCATTTTCTACACTAGCACAGCAAACACACACACACAAATGATGCCCCGGACTTCTGCATCTGCAGTCATTCTTTCCCCTCACATAGCCGCCCAGCTTTGCCCCTGGTTTCTTTCTGATATTGACTTGACGTCACTTCACCAAGGCCTTCCCTGGCTACCTTGTTATCAATGGCAAACCCTGTCCTGTCCTTCCATGCTTCACTTTTGTGCTTGAAACCTGTTATCCTTTAACTTACTGTATGTACCATGTAGTTTTCTGATTCTTTTCAATCTCCCTTTATAAGAATGTACGAGGCAGTTTTATCCACTGCTGTATTCTCAGTGCCTGACACAGTGCTGGGCCATGGTAGATACTCAGCAAAGTGGTTGTTGAATGGATAAAAGTTGTCGGAGCGGAATAGCTAATCACTTATTGTGACCCACTGCCAATGTCAAAGACTCTTCTCTATGTCTGTGGATAGTGGCCTCATAGATTGATGCATTAAGAACATAACTGGGGCCAGGCATAGTGGCTCATGCCTGTAATCTCAGCACTTTGGGAGGCTGAGGTAGGTGGATCACCTGAGGTCAGGAGTTCGAGACCAGTCTGGCCAACATAATGAAACCCCATCTCTACCAAAAAATAAAAATTAGTCGGGCATGGTGGCAGGCGCCTGTAGTCTGAGCTACTTGGAAGGCTGAGGCAAGGGAATCACTTAAACCCAGGAGGCAGAGGTTGCAGTGAGCCAAGATTGTCCCACTGCACTGCAGCTTGGACAACAGAGCAAGACTTGGTCTCAAAATATATATATATATATATATATATATATATAACTCATCTAAGGAAAGGTTGCAGAGAATTCCATATAGCAAGTAAGACAGTTGGGAGGAGAATGGAAGAGAGGGAAACTAGCATTTTACAGCTTAGGTTTGCTGATGAAAAAATGAAAAGCATAAAAAATTGCTCCCATCTGTGCTCTCCTTTGATTTTATTTTTTGTCTGTTGCACCAAAAGAGCACAGAGTAATCAGGACATCACGAGTGAGTTGTGGGAGTAGCGCAGACCTTGAATCATTCTGCATAATCCAGACTCCTTTTCTTTCTTTCTTTCTTTCTTTTTTTTTTTTTTTTTTGAGACGGAGTTTCGCTCTTGTTATCCAGGCTAGAGTGCAATGGCGCAATCTCGGCTCACCGAAACCTCTGTCTCCTGGGTTCAGGCAATTCTCCCTCAGCCTCCTTAGTAGCTGGGACTACAGGCAAGTGCCACCATGCCCAGCTAATTTTTTTTGTATTTTTAGTAGAGACGGGGTTTCACCATGTTGACCAGGATGGTCTCGATCTCTTGACCTCGCGATCCACCCGCCTCGGCCTCCCAAAGTGCTGGGATTACAGACTTGAGCCACCACGCCCAGCTCCTTTTCTTTCTTCTAAGGATGTGTGCAGTTGGGAAACCCTGCTTGTCGACTTCTAGTAACCTTTGTCTTGGCCAGTCTTAACAACTTGTTTCTGCTGAACCAGCCAATACTTAGGAAGCTGTGTAAGGCTTTTTTTCACCTTCTCCTTCTTAATGAGTTTGATTCAGAGGGGAAGCCCAGGCTGAATTGACCTTCCGGAAAATGTAAACCTGTTTAACACCAAACCGTAGCACAGCCAGCACTCTGCCCAACTCTGCCCAACCCTTCCTGCCAGCCTGGGGCTCTGATCGGCACCTGAAGGTGGGGCTCAACGATGCACAGTCTGGGTACTACCTGCCTTGGGTCATTCTTGACAGCTCAGACAAACAGAGGCAATTTCTAGGCAATGTGATTTGCAAAGATCTGACCTCTAGGTTGGGAGCAGGATTCCAATTTGAGACCATGAGCTGCTGGGATCATAGACTTCCCCAGTTCATCTTGGAATAGTAGAGTTTATTTCCAACAGAGCTCCCAGAAAGAAGGGCTGTGGCTCCCGGGCTGTACCCCTTACTGTCCTCCCTCCTTGAGCTGACCCTGACTGCCACGTCCCTATTACTGCATCGCTTGCAATTTAGAAAGGTTTTTTTTTAATTTTTTATTTTTTTTGTTTGGGTTTTTTTTTTTTTTTTTTTGAGACAGAGTCTTGCTCTGTTGCCAGGCACCAGGCTGGAGTGCAGTGGCACAATCTCGGTTCACTGCAACCTCTACCTCCTGGGTTCAAGCAATTCTCCTGCCTCAGCCTCCCAAGTAGCTGGGACTACAGGCGCCCGCCACCACACCCAGCTAATATTTTTTTTTTTTTTTTTGAGACAGAGTCTCACTCTGTTGCCCAGGCTGGAGTACAGTGGCATGATCTTGGCTCATTGCAACCTCTGCCTCCCAGGTTCAAGCAATTCTCCTGCCCCAGCCTCCTGAGTAGCTGGGATTACAGGTATACACCACCATCCCCAGCTAATTTTTGTATCTTTTATAGAGACGGGGTTTTCCATGTTGGTCAGGCTGGTCTCAAACTCCTGACCTTGTGATCCGTCCACATCGGCCTCCTAAAGTGCTGGGATTGAGCCATCACGCCCAGTTAGAAATGTATTTTTAATAAGATATCTGGGTTCAGCCACTGGAGGTTCCTCCCATGATAGAAATAGCATGGAGTTGAGCAGACAGAAAAGGGTTCAAGTATCACCTCCCACCGTGTGTCATCTGTGTGACCTTGAGAAAGTGACTTAACCTTTCTGAACTTCAGTTGCCATAATACCTACCTCAAAAAGCTCTTCATCCATCCATTCATTCACTCAGCAGACAACTATCGAGGGCCTAATATGCCCCCAGGTATATGCTAGGTGCCAGGAAAACATATTCAAGGAACTTAAGTCTGGTTGAGGAAGACATTAGAGCATAAAAACCATTACGGCACTGAAGATCGTTGCTTTGGCTGAGGTATATGTATGAATATCTGGGAGAACTAGCCCAGACCAGGGCTGGGAATTTTGGGAGGTTTGGCACAGCCCTGGTGAAAAGAAAATAGTTTAAGGCAGGCTGTGGAACAGAAGCCTCAGTTTCCTCCTCTGTTTCCACCCCGCCTCCTCCCTTCAATTCGTTTCCCAAGTCGACCTGTGCACTGCAGAAGTCCTCTGGGGGAAAGAGCAGAGTTTAAATAGGACCAGACTTCCTGGAAAGACAGAAAGTCTGGATGTGAAGTCCTCACTTCTCTCTGGAAGGAAACCTCACGGAGCAGATACCAAAGGGCTCCCGCCAGAGGATCCATAGGAAGGAGTCGTGAGAGTCCAGCAGGGCTCCAGCTGCAGAACTGTGGCCCGGCCGCAGCCGCCCCCTGCATGCCTTGGGTCAAGCTGAGAGGCCAGGCCCTCCAGGCTGGAGCGGGGCAGGCCACCATCTCCTGTTGCAGAACAGCTGTCGAGACCACAAGTGTTCTCCCAGCAGCAGCCTGACTTGGAAAAGCAAACCACAAACCCCTGGCCTGATGCCCGCTCACCCGCCTCACTCCCTGGCACCTTCCAACCAGGGGAGCCTGGAGCTCACACATGAAGTTGCAGCAGCAGGCAATCTGCCTCACCCCGGGTGCCCACCGAAACCGCGGTCTGCCAGACAGCAGCACTGGGACCTCTTCCCCTCCCCGGCAGGATCGGCTGGCTCTGGAAGCACGAGGTGTTCCAAAGTGCAAACAAGCCGCTGTTAAATCATTATTCCCCAGAGCCGAAGCCCTCGCTGGTTGGCTCGAGTTTGTCACACAGATACCACTAGGGTAGAGTATTAGCTTCTTTTTCTTTGTGTTATGCGTGATAGAGCAGTGTTAGTGAGCGTATGCCCGTACTTCCCTGCAGAACTGGCTGCCAGTCCATTTCCTTCCGTCCCATTACCATCTTCAATACAGTCTGGTGACGTCCACAGAGGAGATCAGGATGTCTCTATGATGCCACATGTCTGGGCAGAGCTGGAGCAGGCATAGGAAAAATGCCAACTGCCAACTTCCCTGCCACCCCTGGAAAAATAGGGAAGAAAAGTAACAACAGGCTTCTCCCTAAAGGCAGTCCTCCAAAGTAGTCAAAACCTCGTTTAAAAAAAAAAAAAAAAAAAAAATTAGCCAGGCACGGTGGCTCATGCCTGTAATCCCAGCACTTTGGGAGGCTGAGGCAGGCAGATCACTTGAGGTCAGGAGTTCAAGACCACCCTGGCCAACATGGAGAAACCCTGTCTCTACTAAAAATACAAAAATTAGCCAGGCGTGGTGGCACTGTCAGTAATCCCAGCTACTCAGGAGGCTGAGGCAGCAGAATCGCTTAAACCCGGGAGGTACAGGTTGCTCTGAACCAAGATTGTGCCAGTGCACTCTAGCCTGGGCAACAGAGTGAGACTCCATCTCAAAAATAAAAAATTTGAAAATTAAAAAAGTTTTAAAACTTAAAAAAATTTTAGAAAGTAACTTTACAGCAATCTGGAAAGAAATGTCTGGGCCAAAGCAGGTGAAAGGGCCCATCATCATTTTCTCCCAAGATGAACCAAGTGCTTCTCAGACTGATTAATTCCCCTTTGAAGCATCCCACTGAGGTCCCTCATAGAGGCATAATTAGCCTTGGCTTTTTTTTTTTTTTTTTTTCAAGGAAAGACTGGAGCACAGAGAGGTTAAGCCATACATCACTGGGTCACAGTGCTAAATTGCTAGAAAAACCAGGCTGGGTGCAATGGCTCATGCCTGGAATCCCAGCACTTTGGGAGGCTGAGGCAGGCAGATCACAATGTCAGGAGATCAAGACCATCCTGGCCAACATGGTAAATCCCTGTCTCTACTAAAATACAAAAAAGAATTAGCTGGGGTGGTGCATGACTGCAGTCCCAGCTACCCGGGAGGCTGAGGTGGGGAATTGCTTGAACCTGGGAGGCAGAGGTTGCAGTGAGCTAAGATCATGCCACTGCACTCTAGCCTGTCAACAGAGCAAGACTTCATCTCAAAAAAAAAAAAAAAAGGAGGAAGAGGAAAAAAGAAAAACCAAAGCTAGACCCAGATATTCCAAATCACTGGGCAACTTCAGCCATTCAGCCCGCTGACCCCAGCCAGTCCCTTGGGGCACTCTGAGGAGGGAAGGAATGATTTGGGGGGTTGGGGGCAGAGGACGGGAAAAGAAAAACAATTCCAGCTTCTCTTGAAAGTATTTACATTCACCAAAGCTTCATGGTAAAGTCTTTCTGCAAGAAAAGCCAAAATATACACAAGAATATAATACAGAGAGAGGCCTCTAGGGAGAAAAATGAAAGGAAATCCAGTGCAATGGGGAAAAACAAAATGGCCTGCATCTCAATGGGCTTGTTAAGTACTTGTTAACCTCTTTCTCTTTTCCCCTAGTAATGACTCTTATGCCAAAGGAAGCTAAGAGGTTTTTGATGGGTTAAAAAGAGCCCATCCATTAAGGGGTCAAGGCCTGGTACTCTGGGTGTCTGTCACTGAATGAATCAAATCAATTTAGAGCTCCTGTTCTCTGACAATGAGGAAGACGCAACTGGCCGGAAGAACGTCTTGCTTCCATTAGGCTGGCTGCAGAGAAAAATCAGCCATTGTCTCCTGGGCTGGGGATGTGGCCATCGCTGAAGAAAAGAGATGCTAGGGAGCCCTTTTGCATCCCTAGCATCTATGGAGGACGGCCTCTGACCCATTTAGGAAGCTGATGATCTGCCGTCACTGGGTATTTTGGAGGGCCTGATGTGTTCCCTTTATAGCCCACTCTGTTCCGTATAAGACTGAGTCGTCATCTTACAATAGGATACTTTCTTCTCAGGGTGAATGTTTTGAGATTAGGAGTCGTAACAAGAAAATGGTCAAAACTGACTCTGATTAAGATTGCAGTGAACAGAAGAATTGGCCAATAAGATTAGGAATAAACAATCCCAAAGAGAATATAGCAAACTCCAGCACAAATGAATGAATGGGAACCCTGGGTCCAGCTTATGCTTGCACTGTAAATCCAGCTTCACAGAAAACTCAGAAATGAGTTTCTGTAATGTTCGTGGCACCATTTGAGTTGTCTTTCAAAAAAAAAAAGTTACACAAACCTGTACCTTGTGCTGATATGTGTTGAAAGTATTCAGTACGTTTGTTTTACTTTAAGAATAATGTTGGCATGTAATCATAAGTATTTCCCTTATGATCATAGTATTTTTTGGATGGAGGGACGGAATCTCACTGTTTCACCCAGGCTGGAGTGCAGTGGCACGTCTCAGCTCACTGCAACTTCCACCTTCCTGATTCAAGTGATTCTCCTGCCTCGGCCTCCCAAGTAGCTGGGATTACAGGTGCACGCCACCATGCCTGGCTCATTTTTGTATTTTTAGTAGAAACAGGGTTTCACTATGTTGGCCAGGATGGTCTCTAACTCCTGATCTCAGACGATCCATGGGAGTCAGCCTCCAAAAGGGCTGGGATTACAGATGTGAGCCACAACACCAGCCTCATATAATTTCCTGAGCGCTATGTACTAGGCACCATTTTAAGCATTTAATATATATTAATTCATTAATACAGCAGCCCTATGAGAAAAGTGCTATTATTTCTATTACTTCAAGGATGAAAAAACTAAGACACAAACTGAATTTCTGAGACTACACAGCCAGTAAGCAGCAGGCTGTAGGACATTGAAAACCCTGCTTTTAATCCATGCTATTCTGTATTGTCTCCCATCAGTAGGAAATGTTTAAATCAAGCTACTTTATTTTTAAATTCCAAAGAACTGCAGCTTGACGTTCTCTGGATTTACAATGCCGACCTTCAGCCCATGCACAGAATGCAGGAATGCCCACTCACCCCTCATTTTAGAGAGGAGAAAGCAAAGATGGAGAGAGCCTTACAAAGTCAGAGCTAGAACTGAGGGCTCCACCTCCCACCCAGGGTTCTTGCTCCTCAAAGTGAAAAACCAAAATAATCAAGAATAAACAATAGTCATGAATCTTAATTATTTGAGACAAAAGCATGAGATATATCTGAATGAGGCAGCGTGGCACTTCTGTCGAGTTTTGAAAGCCTGGTACAGAAACCAGAGATGGTTTTTTGTTTGTGTTTTTGTTTTTGTTTTGAGACGGAGTTTCACTGCTGTTACCCAGGCTGGAGTGCAATGGCGCGATCTTGGCTCACCGCAACCTCCGCCTCCTGGGTTCAGGCAATTCTCCTGCCTCGGCCTCCCGAGTAGCTGGGATTACAGGCACGCGCCACCGTGCCCAGCTAATTTTTTGTATTTTTAGTAGAGACGGGGTTTCACCATGTTGACCAGGATGGTCTCGATCTCTTGACCTCGTGATCCACCCGCCTCAGCCTCCCAAAGTGCTGAGATTACAGGCTTGAGCCACCGCGCCCGGCCACCAGAGATGGTTTTAAGTTCCATCATGGATTCCCATAGCATGAAAACAGGCCACTTTATGCATGTCTTGCCTTCCCAAGTAGATCGTAAGCTCCCTACAAACATAAACATATATTAGGCACCACATGTTTCCTCTTGCCTATTAGAACAGGCCAGTACAAAATAGATGACCACTACATGAATGGTTAGAAAGGGAATGGGAATTCAATGTTGCCTAAAACCCAAGGGCCTTACTTCTGTCTCCTTTTTGTGCAAAGTAAAATATATTGAATCCCTATCGAACTGATAGGAAGAAAAAAACCTCTGACACACGATTTCAGCCCACTAAAAACAAATACCTGGGCCGGATGCGGTGGCTCACGCCTGTAATCCCAGCACTTTGGGAGGCTGAGGTGGGTGGATCATCTGAGATCAGGGGTTTGAGACCAGCCTGGCCAACATGATGAAACCCCATCTCTACTAAAAATACCAAAATTAGCTTGGTGTGATGGCAGGCACCTGTAATTCCAGCTACTTGGGAGGCTAGACAAGAGAATTGCTTGAACCCGGGAGGCAGCAGAGGTTGCAAGGAGCCAAGATTGTGCTGTTGCACTCCAGCCTGGGGGACAGAGTGAGACTCTATCTCTGGAAAAAAAAGTATATATATATGTGTGTGTGTGTGTGTGTGTGTGTGTGTATATGTACACACACACTTCTGTTGTCCCTATAGAACCCACTGTGCCCCAGTAGCAAAACCTTACCAGGAAACATGGGATCCAGTCCTCTGAAAGCACAGGCTTAGGGCTTTCTTTGGTGCTCTCACATTTTAAATTGCGTCCGGTTCTGGTTCAGTGACTCCTCTGTTTTGCGCTGCAGCCCTCTAGATGTGTAGGAACCCATTTGCATTTGCTGAAAATACAAACCCACCTAGAGATTTGCAAGTGCCAGTCTGCTCTAGAAAGTAAGAAGGGCAGAAGTGAGATAAGGAAGTGAGTTTTTCAGTTGATATGTTTCCTTCTGAGCTTGGAGATTATTCCTGTCCATGCGTCTAATTCTTCTTACATAGAGACCCAGAACAAGAAGCTGGAAACAACCTTGTTCTTAGTCATTGACAGAGCTTCATGGTGTGATAGAAAGAGCCCAGGAGCAGAAACCACAAGATGTGGGTGCCAACATCAGTTACTTATTTAACTTCTGCCAGTCCCTTAACCTCCGTCTACCGGGGTTACTTTATCTGTGCAAGGAGAGGTGGACCAGATGGCTGCTGTGATTCTGTGTAGTAGCCCCCCTGGGTGATGCAGGAAGTTACTCATAGGGAGGTCAGTAAGAAGCTCGGTGACTCAGCCTCAGGGACAACGGGGGAAGACAAGGTTCTCCAAAGTCCTGGTCAGGCATCAGAGGCACCAGACCAAGCTTCCTCTCAAGCATCTATTTCCGCAGCATCCTGGGAGCTTGCCCACCACACCACATGCAGTCCCAGCTCTCCATAAGTGCTGGCCAGGGAGGAAGTCCAGTGAGGCCAAGGCCCCTTCCTCTGCCCCAACCTTCAGCCAAACACAGGATGTGGGAATCCAGCAGGCCAGCTAGAATCCAGTAACTGGTCCCTGCTCATTAAGTACTTACAGTGGACTCTGTTGCATTCAGGGCTCAAAGGCAGTATTTTTAGCCACTCTTGTTTGCACTCCGTGGATAAATGTTTCGCATCTCCTGTTTTAATATGTGAAGACATTGAGGCCCAGAAGAGGGAAGTGGAGGACGTGTGATCGCATTGGGAATCACAGCAAATCTAGGTCAGAAACCAAGAATCGACATCCAGTATCAGCCAGTCCCAACAACAGGGACAGACGTAGTCTCAAGGAAGCTACTTCCTGGTGGTTTCCTCTAAGTTTTGTTCCGTGCAAGCCCAGACCATCCCGGCATCCAGGCTGTTGTGTTTTTGTTGTTGTTGTTTGAGATGCAATCTCACTCTTTTGCACAGGCTGGAGTACAGTGGTAAGATCTCAGCTCACTGCAATCTCCACCTCCTGGGCTCAAGTGATTCCCCTGCCTCAGCCTCCCAAGTAGCTGGGATTACAGGCGTGCACCACCACGCCCCGCCCGGGCTGTTCTTCATCAGAACTGTAGTTGTGCTTTTGTCTTTGGATGAAAGCTATGGAGTACTGAGGCATTGCTGTGTAGGAAACTAGAGGAAGCAGGACTCCAAGAAAAAGAAAATACTTGTTATCATTTACTGTACAAAAGGAAAGCCAGGCCATGGTGCAGGACGAGAAAGATTTGCTCTTTTACTCTCTCCTTAATCATCTGGTAGCTCCTTTGTAAAACTCATTCCACTTGTAAAGTAAACCATCCATTAGCAGGAGTTGTTCCCACTATTGGTGGACTCCTGGGGACAGCAGCATAGTTAAGGTTAGAGTCACGGACCAGGTGCCCTTGGCTTCGATTTCCGGTTTCCTCAGTCACTTGCTGTGTGGCCTCAGGCAGTTTTCCTTAATTTCTCTGGACCTCATTTACCCCAAGAAGTAAATTTCCCACTCCCTCTTCTCGGGGGATGCCAAAGATCAAAGGAACAATGTTTGCAGGGCTTTTTAAAGATGCCTAAATGAAGGGAATCAGAAACGCCCCGATTTAATAGGTACGAATTAATACCTTCTTTGATTATTGGTACAACTATGTATTTTAGCTTTTTCATTAGCTCCTTGGGTGTAATTGGCCATAGGAGTTACACAGAATCCTAAAGGAAGCTGCCCAGTCATCCTGATAATCACTGTGGGTGTCTGCTGTGTCTTTACACGGAGGGGCAGAATGTGTTGGCAGCTTTACGAGGGCTACGCCGAGCCAGCACAAGCTGGGGACGCTCCCCTGATGTGGCACAGACCACTGGGGCTGCCCGGAAACCAGCTCAGTCAGAGCCCACCTTACCCTGTTTACAAAAGGGAGGCTAGATAGAGCATCTCCTGCTTGTTGTGTTTGCTCTGCCAGCCTCAGAGTGAAGTATTTAACAGGTAGGGCCTCTGAGCCGTGGGCACAAGAGCCCGTGGGCAGAAATGCCCCCATGAAGAGCACAATGCCTTTCCAGCAAGCTGCTCCCCAGCTTGGGGCAAGGGGAAGCTGCTCCCACCCTCCTGGTCCCTGCTGTCTTCATATTCCTGCTCCCCAGCTCACCCCCTCCCTCCTAAGTGAAGAGAAAAGGATCCGGCCACTGTTCTGACATGTCACCCCCTCTTCTGTTCCTGGGAGCTGTTTGTTTTTGTTTGTTTGTTTGTTTGTTTTGAGAGGGAGTCTTGCTCTGTCACCAGGCTGGAATGCAGTCTCGTGATCCTGGCTCACTGCAACCTCTGCCTCCCAGGTTCAAGTGATTCTCTTGCCTCAGCCTCCTGAGTAGCTGGGACTACAGGCACCTGCCACCATACCCGGCTAATTTTTGTATGCGGTTTCGCCATGTGGGCCAGGCTGATCTCGAACTCCTGACCTCAAGTGATCCGCCCACCTCAGCCTCCCAAAGTGCTGGGATTCCAGGCATAAGTCACTGTGCCCGGACTATTCCTGGACCCTTTAATGTCTCAATGCAAAAATATGATCCTGAAAACCACCCATCCCTTCACCTCAGTTTTACCCTTCCTTCCCAGGATTGCATTTGCAAAACAAAAGGTCCTGCTTAAAGCAAGCATCAAGGGAATCCATTGTTCTGCACCCAGTTACAAAAATGTCTAGTGTGTCATCCCGGGGAGACGCCTGGGAGCCAGGACTCCATGGTTCATGGCCAAGGGCAGAAGCTGGAGGCAAGGCCTTCCCACGGGCAGCTACAGCAGCCACGGATGGGGTGCTGCCGCAGAATCCAGATGGTTTTGTCCAGGCCCTTTGGCAGACGTGCAGCTCTCCATGCCGAACCGCATCAGGGAGCACTTAAAGCAAAGCTTGGTTTGTGTTTTATTTTGCATGGAACGGGGGAAAGAGGAGTTTCCAGGGAAACAACCCCTCGGAGCATTCTGTGCTGGGATTCTTCATCAGGTGGGAAGGGGGCTTCCCATGAAAGGCACAGGGGGTTTCTCAAGCATGCTCACACATGGTTGTTTTCTTTCCTCCTCTTGAAGGGTTTGAGGGTCCCACCTCCCTGGGCCTGCCCATTAGGCTGGCAGGGACCTTACCCCACAATACCCCCCAGGACGTAAGGCCAGGACCAAGTCCACAATGAGCAGGGCCCAGTGCAGAATAGAAATGCAGGGTCTCTTGATCAAACCATTAGGTGGGTTCAGTGCACACTGCCCAGGTGATGGGCTCACCAGAATCTCACAGATCACCACTAAGGAACTTACTCACAGAACCAAATCCGACCTGTTCCCCAAAAACCTATGGAAATAATGTTTTTAAAGCATATAGCAACAAAGACAAAAACCAAAAAAAAAAAAAAAAAAAAAAAAAAAAAAAAAGGGAGGGAGGGAGGGAGGAAGAAAGGGAAGGAAAAGGAAAAAGGAAAGGAAAGGAAGAAGGAAGAAAAGACAGAAAGAATGAAAAAACTATTAGGAATTTCAAGATGTCAACAGCAGATTGTGAAACTAAGCCAATGACCTTCTCAGCAAAGAGCCCTCAGGTGGCACACCCAGAAGGCTGGTCCTGTCCAAGACTTCACTTTGCCTGAGCAAGGCAGGTGCAGGATAGGGACTGAGAGACCCCCGTGGGGTGCAGCCAACAGCAACTTTTCACTGAAATACCATCCACATCCCTTACTTAAGAGGAGGGGAGGGGCAGTGGAGAAAAATTATCTGCATGTAAGGATTTGCAGCACACCCTTAATAATTTTTTTAAAACCCAAAAGTTTGGGCTTGAGTTAGGAAATCTAAGAAAAGAATGACTCTGGTTGTTTTGGAGTTACTCTCTTTTAATCTGCCAGCATTTGGAAGTAAGAACAATTAGGATTCATAGTAAGATCTAAGGTCATTTTTGTGCCAGCACCGTGCTAAGATCTGTGGCTGCTGAGATCTACCTTAGAGGGGTCATTTTTGCCATTTTACAGAGGGGAAAACTGAGGCTAAAGGAAGTGCTGTAACTTGTGTAAGATCCAGAAGCTTAGAAGTAGTGGAGTTCGCGCTGGGCATGGTGATTCACCCCTGTAATTCCAGCACTTTGGGAGGCTGAGGCCGCCAGATCACTTGAGGCCAGGAGTTGGAGACCAGCCTGGCCAACATGGTGAAACTCCATCTCTACTAAAAAATACAAAAATTATCCAGGTGTGGTGGCACACTCTGTAATCCCAGCTACTCAGAAGACTGAGGCACAGGAATCACTTGAACCCGAGAGGCAGAGGTTGCAGTGAGCCGAGATCATGACACTGCACTCCAACCTGGGGGATAGAGCAAGACTGTCTCAAATTTTTTTTTTTTTTTAATGTAGGAGAGCCTGGATTGAAACAGATGCAGTCACATCACAAAGCCTGAGTGCCTGACCAGTTTGCTCAGTGTACTGCCCCCGGGTTATGAGGCCAATGTCATAGAACCTGTTCATTCTGGTATTTTTGTAGCTCTGGCTAAGTTCAGGTGGAATGTCTCTGAATATATAACAACTGGATACCAGAGAGGAACTTTGGGTGTTTTCACTGAAGGATTTATAGTGGCCAAGCATCAGAGAGGAGCATAAGACCCCGTTCAGGTGCTGTTGAATCTGTGACACAAAGCTATCAGCCAACATCAGCTTTGGACCATTTGCTTTCCTCCCAGTGTCTCTCCACCCACCTGGAGTTGATGCTTAACAAGAAAGGAAAATACTATTTCCTTGGGCTTCAGAGTGAAATGCACTCTGAGCCCAGGACAAAAGAGGCCGCTCTGTAATAAGAGATAATAGATATTCTCCTTCTCAGTACTTACACAGACAAAATACTTGTAAAATCCCAGAGAGCAGATTAGGAAGATAAAAGAAGGCAGCCGTTCCAGAGGCCGTTTTCATTCCAGCCCAGTATTATTCCGGGTGCTGGGTCCACTGGCCAACTGTTGATTAGCCGTGTCCCCAGCCTGGGAAGACAGGTGGGTGGGATACAGGAAATGGCTATCACGTCTCCAAGGTGGAGAGAACATGAGGATGTCAGAGAGGGTCAGGAGCCTCAGGTCTGAGGAGTCCGGGGGTAAGACCCTAAAAAGCATTCATCTCAGTGACCAGAGAAAGCTTGACAAGATTCCTGCTTTACCCCCTCTTTCTGCAAGATAAACCGAAATTCCAAGTGTATTGAAGGCGATGCAGTCACCATCAATATCAGTGTAAATGTGTGTGCACACGACTTGAACCTCCTGTGACATTTCCCAGAGGGGGAAAGTAACTTTCTTTTGCATCCAATGAATGAAAGGAACCGCGTTCCTGGAGCAATTGGAGGCAGCCCTAATTACTTCCAAACATTACAGTCGGCTTCTTAGTTAACGAGCTCACTGGTCTGAAGGGGGAAGGACCGCCAGGGCCCCTTCATGCCCCTTCTCACCCTCCCTGGCCAAGCCTGAGGGAGAGACTCCGGCTGCACGCCGCGTCCTTCCGGGCGACAGAACTCTTGGTTTTCTTTGTGCTGCGGCAGGAAGAATGGGCTTGACAGGCTCACACTGTGATCTTGAGTTGCCTGTCCCGAAATAAGGTCCCAGCCTCCTCCGCCCTTAGCAAGGCTCTTACCCATTAGTGAGCAGGAAGTGGAGTCCCGATGGGAGGCTGGGAATCTGAACGCCTTCCCATTTCAGCACTGGAGGGAGGAAGCCCGACTCAGCACTCCACGCAGATGGCCACCGCTCCCTCCTGAGAGCTCGCTCCGCGCCTCTCGCTCCTCTCCCCTCGCCCCGCCGCCTTCTCGGCTCGGTCCCTCTCTCCCGTCTCCATCGCTCCTCCCTCTCCTGCAAGGGAGAAGTCTGCCAAGCTGGGGACCGCCAGGGGCACACCAACAAAGGCCAACCAAAGGCGGAGAACTTGAAAAGAACTTGTTTTGTTCCAGTTAAGGAACCTGCAGGGAAATCCACACCCACATTGCCTGGTTTTGAACTGGAGAGCTGCGTGCGTCCGTGTGTGTGTGTGTGTGTGTGTGTGTGAAGCAAGGGGCGGAGGAAGCACAAACTACAGTCTCTGCTTTGATAAGGAAACTACCAGCTGTGGAAAGTTGACCAGCAGAGAGGGGAAGACGGCCCAGGAACCAGCCCCTCCTAATTTTAAACTACATTGTTTTCTGTCCAGATATTCCAATGGAGACAGTTGGAAAACCTGTATTTCAGAGAAAAGAAGTTTTCCGTGGAAGTTCATGACCCACGCAGGTAAGCTTGAAAAGTCCTTTTCTTACGGGACAGCGTGGCTCTCGGCCGGGCATGTTATTTATCTTATGGTTTGGGGACTGTGGTGGTTGACCGTCAGTTGGCAGGGAGGGAGGGTGGGTGTTCCTGGGGGGAATGGAGTTCAAATCAGTGAGGCTTTCTTTTGGATTACATATGTTGATAAACGCAGTGGGTTTGCACGTGTGTGTGTGTGTGTGTGTGTGTGTGTGTGTGAAGTAAGCAGCAATTCCCTGACCATCTCATCTGGCCACATGTGTCCCTGGCTTATATGTGTGTGTGTGTTTGTATGTGTTTGTCTGACCTGCCGGGGCACTGGAGGAAGCTTTATGGCACTTCGTGACACACACCAGTAAGTCCACATAGGAAATCTTTGCTACAGAAGAGTCTGAGGAATCCCTCCTCAGAGCTTCTAAAAGTGTTTCAGGCAGGACAGTCAATGCAGAAATGTTGTTCCATTGTTTTATTCCAGGAGCTGTACTTTTAGGGCGTTAGTATTGTGGGTGGATGTGAAAGGGATGCAATTATTTTTCCCTCCACCCAAAACTGTACCCCAGAGAGCACCAGTGTTGTAAAAAGGTCCCTGCTCTCCAATTCAGATTCGAGACAGTGGGGCCCCAGACTGGAATGCAGGAAGCCCGGAGTGGCCGGGGTCTGGGCAGTTGGTACCCACTGTTTTCCTCTCTTTGTCTGCCTCTGGACCCAAAGTTGTAGGCATCCCAAAAACAGCAGCGTCATTCCCTAAAACCGGGCCTGACAACTAAAAACTCACTTTCCATAAGTCCAAAAACATTTAAGAAGGTAGCCCTGGGGAAATGGAGAAAAGATCAGACCCTACAGAGGAGCAGAGTGGATTTTAGGCGCTGTTGATGCTCCAGCCTGGGCTTAGAAAGAGGACTTGGCACCATTTCCAGCTCACACATGGCTTCTAGTGCTCAAAACAAGCTGCCTCCCCGCCACGAGCTCTGGACAGGAGGAAGACTGGGAGTTACTCTGCCCAGTGAGAGGGCTCGGACCTGTGCAATAGCCCCTGCTCTGCAGCCCATGATAACCCAGTAGGAATGAAGCCATGCCTGCCCTCCAGGGTAATCTGCCTCCAGCAGCCACTCCTGTAGAGGGGAAAAGCTTATCTCAGCAGCACAGTTACTGCAGGAATAGTGGAGAGCAGCTCAGAGTTTCTGCATCTCTGCAGTCAGGTGAAGATGGTAGCCTTTAAGAGAAGAATATTTTATCCGATATTTCTCAGGGCCCTCTGCAAGGGTTTCATGGCCGGAAGCCCACTCCACGGAGCACAGATCCATCTGCACAGGCCAAGCGGGGCAGGTAGGGAGATTCCAAAAATAATATTCCAGCCAAGAAGAAACTTACTGTCCATTTTCCAGGTGAACTGAATCGGACCAGGTTCTTAGGTGTGTAAGAGGAGGGGAAATTTAAGTATAAAATGAGTGGACTGGGTGTGGTGGCTCATGCCTGTAATCCCAGCACTTTGGGAGACCGAAGAAGGTGGATCACCTGAGGTCAGGAGTTTGAGACCAGCCTAACACGGTGAAACCCCGTCTCTACCAAAAATACAAAAATTAGCTGGGCATAGTGGCGGGCACCTGTAATCCCAGCTACTCAGGAGGCTGAGGCAGGCGAATCATTTGAATCCAGGAGGCGGAGGTTTCAGTGAGCCAAGATCACTCCATTGCACTGCAGCCTGAGCTATCGAGTGAGACTCTGTCTCACAAAAAAAAAAAAAAAAAAAGTGAAATGAACTTTGCCTCAGTGGGTTCTCCATAGGATAAAAATGAGGGACTGCGTAATCTAAGGGGCTGAGTGCAGGGAACAGACCCTCCGCTATGCCTGTGCTCTGCTGGGAATTCAGTGAACTCCCAGGCACCTTGGACAAATCCTTTAACCACACAAGCGTGTATCTGTGCATGTGTGTTTGTGTTCTCTCTGCGTCTGTCACCCTATCAGTGAATGCTACTAAGTTCTCTTCTCTTTCCCAAGGCCCAGGGATATAGGAAAGACTAGACCTCACACGTGGCTATTCAGTGGGCCTGTTAGACAGCAGTGATCAATGTCACGTTTCTTGAGAAGCTTCTGTGTCATGTTCGGGCGCTGTGTCAGCTGTGGCAGAGAAGGAAGGAAGTCGGAGGCAGGGTCCTCTTCCTTAAAGATCTTCTAATGTAGCTGAGAAGACAGGCAGAAGAAGGAACTTATTTTTGTTTTTTTTAGAGACAACATCTCATTCTGTCACCCTGCTGGAATGCAGTAGTGCAATCATACCTCACTGCAACCTCCACCTCCCAGGCTCAAGCAATTCTCCCACCTCAGCCTCCCAAGCAGCTGGGACTACAGGCTCACATCACCACACCCAGCTTTTTTTTTTTTTGGAGAGACCGGGTCTCACAGGGTTGCCCAGGCTGGTCTTGAACTCCTGAACTCAAACGATCCTCCCATCTTGGCCTCTCAAAGTGCTGGGATTATAAGTGTGAGCCACTGCCTGGAACCCAGCTGAGAAGAAGGAACTAAGGGGTGTCACAAGAAACAAAAGAAGCTACTCTAGATGACAAGTAGCTGTAGACAGGAGAGGCAGGATTTGAACCTACGATGTCTGACCTGGAGCTCAGGCACTTCACCTCTTTACTGTACAGAAGGGCCAGATGTCATAGGCCATGAAGGGTGAATGGCAGGGTCACCAGAGGCGTGGCTGGTCAGGAAGGGAGAGGCTTACCAGGAAAGAGATCTGAGCAGAACCTGGAGGAGTAACTAGGATTAAAGCCATGTGGTGGGCCCTCAGGGGGACATAGATGTCAGGTGGGGGCTTTTCAATTAGGGTAAAGAAATGAGGGAGGGTCTGGCTGGAGGAAAGTGGGAGGTGGAGGAGCCCAGAGGAACGACTGAAGCCGTCTCTCCTCCCAGGCAAACTCGCTCTGAGTACACTGAATATGCCTGCAGACAGGCAGGCATGGGGGAGAGGCCCAGGGAGCCCGGAGATCGGGACCCAGGTTGACTTCAGCCTTAAAGACATAGGAGGAAAGGAAATGGCTTCAGGTCAGTTATTTAACATGGTGGCAGAACCAGAGCTGTGACCTGCAAGGACGTTCTTGCGCTCAGTTCTCTTTTCACATCCTAGCGGCGCCTTTTTTCTCTTGTACTGGTAGTTAATATTTCATGTATTTACGGGCCACGCGTGTGTGTGTTGCGTGCCTAGAACGTGGAATGATCAAGGCGGGCTTTGTGGAGTATCCACGGCCTTGTTTACTCTTTTTGTTTCAGTGTCCCTGCTAGTCCTCTTTTCCGGGTACTTTGAAATATACCTCGTTGTGCTTTTTCAGTGGAATGTGTCGTCCTGTTGCCTGCAGCTTGGCTTATTTGAGGCAGGGAAGAGGAATGGAATTGGCCCCGTGGTAGGATGGGGTTCAGGGCTCAGCCCCTCCCCCAAGCCAGGAAAGGAGTCAGAACCACAGAAATGGGATGGGAAGCGCCAGATACAATCATTTAATGAAGATGTAATCAATGGGAATTGTTTAGGGCAGAGGCTGCTTTCTGAGCTGATGGGCACAGGTGTGATTGCACCGTTGCCTGCAGGGCATTGGAAAACACGTGCACTTTCTCCTGCTGGTGATCCTAACTCAATACTTAGCTTCATTCCTCAGGTTCTCCAGGCTGGGCCAATATTCCATTTTGAAGGTTTGGGCAAAATAGGAAGGGCTTGAAGGGAAAGATGAGGAGAGGAGATAAATTAATAATAGAGCAGGAGAAGAACTCCGAGTATCTGATTTAGATGCTCTGGGGAACTACCCGGACCTGACCAGCCACTTACCTCTTCTTCCCAGTTCCTGAAAAATGGAGGTACCTAGCCTTGCACCACCTTTCAAGATACTTTTCTCGTCTAATTGGGCTTTTCTGTTGGCGGGGAGGAACCATTTATTTCCAAGAGCAGCAACTGCTTGGAAGCCAAGCTGGGAGCACAGATCCTGTTTTCTTTTAAATTTATAGAGACCATGGAGGGATCCCCCCCTCACTTTCTCACTGGCTCCTTTTCTCAATTATTTTCAACTGCACCCTCTTTCACAAGCTGGCTTTTTTTTTTTTTTTCTTTTTCCCTTCACTTTGGTTTGAACTGAAGGGAGAAGACAAGCCCTGTAGAATCCGTATCATTAACTAACCACCAGATTTGAATTTCTCCTTAAAAGTGAGGGTGAGGAAGACTCCACTCTAAATCTTTAGCCCCCCCCAAGGTAAGATGACATGGGCAGTTTTCAGTTGTTCTTTAAGGGACAATTAGCATTGGGAAAAAATTACTGTTTGCAAGTCCTAATTACCCCAGGTTTCTTCCAAATTAGATGCATTCATCCTGAGAACACACATTTTGTTTCTGATGTCTAGATAAAATGCTCCAAATCCCATCTCACCTTCCCATCAACTTGTGACACGTACACACACACACACACACACACACACACACATTCTCAGATTTCGTTTGCAAAATAATCTGCCTATCCTATAAAATATACTTCACTGAGAGCATGACCATATAACGTTTTTTCCCCTAACTCTATGAATGTGGTGAATTATATGGAGATAAGCAGTTCCCATTTTCATTTTTAAAGTCTGATTACTCCATGTAGGTTTAAAAATATATAGACAAGGCCAGGCATGGTGGCTCATGCCTGTAATCCCAGCATTTTGGGAGGCTAAGGCAGGTGATCACCTGAAGTCAGGAGTTTGAGACCAGCCTGGTGAAACCCCTCGCTACTAAAAAATACAAAAAATTAGCCAGGTGTGGTGGCTACTTAGGAGACTGAGGCAGGAGAATCACTTGAACCTGGGAGGCAGAGGTTGCAGTAAGTCTAGATGGTACCACCACACTCCAGCCTGGGCTGGAGTCACAGTGTGACTCCGTCTTAAAAAAAAAATGTATATACAGAGGTTGAAGGAATTGGGACTGAGCATATTTCTCTCTGCCTTTCCTCTCCTGATTCTTTATACCCTCCCTGCCCTCTGAATAGATGGGAAATTGATCACCAAATCTTCAAGAAACATTGGGTTAGAGTTACATCAGAAGTCCTGATTCCTTGGGATGCTGTAACCTGTGGTGATTAGAAAAGAATGTACTCATCCCCACCATAGGCACATTTCCTGTCTCATAGGGAGCATCATTGAAGGTTTTCTTGTCTGGGAAGTTTGTCTTGGCTCAGTGCCAGGTCCAGGATTGAAAAGGACCATCCAGTGACCTAGAATGACCCATCCTATCCCAGACAAGGCCAAGACTTGGCCAAATTCCAAACTCTAGGAGGTCAGAAAATCAGAAGGTGGCCTTTGCCAGCCACTGTCTCTGAGTGTGTGTGTGTTTAGGTGTGTGTGAGTGCTCAGCTGCCACCTTTACACCAGGGCTTCCAGGACCCAGTGGGTTCTGCACAGAAGCTGTTGACTAAGAAATGATTTCTCTCAACAGAAACACAGTTGAACCTGTGATTCTTTCTTCCCCAGGGCTTCAGTGACAAGGAGGACGTTTGGGCACAGTGGCATCGCGGTGCACACATGGTATGCATGTCCTGCATTGATCAAGTCCATCTGGGCTATGGCCATAAGCCAACACCAGTTCTATCTGGACAGAAAGCAGAGTAAGGTGAGTGACCAGACCTCTCACCAAGCCCTCAGCCAGCTTCAGAGCAGCCTGAGGACGCTGTCAGCCTCTCTCATTTAGGAGTGAGAATTGGATGGGTGGGGGAGGTGCCATGTCCCTTGCCCTGGTCCATACCTTGCACAGGTATGGACTTGCCTCTCAGGGCTGTAGGTGGGAGGAATGAGACTGGCTCTTCAAGAGGGAACATTCCATCAAACTTGGTCCGGGGGGCTCTGGCCTACCATCAGAGCAGCTCAAGCTGCTGAATGGGCTTAGGGTCTCTTGGGCATCTCAAGAAGCTTGTTCTTATGGCTTTCCCACCCCACCCTAGAAGATGGTCTCGCTCGGCAGTTGGAAAGCCTTGTTATTCAAAGGCTAACAGGTGAACTCACTAACACAGTACTTCTCAAAAAGAAAGTATTGGCCAGGTAGGCCCCTTTTGAAGAATTCCCACTGTGCTTCTGGCCCTCGGGAGACCCCTGCTAGCAGCATAAAGGCAAGCCCTTTTTGGTGTTTAAACAGTGGCATATTATCTTCCTTTTAAAAAAAAGAAAAATGTAATCGTTTTCAATGAATAGACACCACTTAACTGTTTAGGGTAATTGCTGTGAGATCCCTCAGGCAGTTCCAACTGCCAAATCTATTTTTTTTTTTAAGTGCAAAACTGGAAAAGTGGGAAAAAAAAAAAAAAAAAAAGCAAAACCAACCCCCCAGTTTCCCTTAGGTAGACCTAGAGCCTGGGGCCTTGGTAAACAGCCCTTCTCCAGGGAGATGTGGCCACCCCCAACTCTGGGCACGCAGCTGCATTTTCTGGTGGGTGAGAGGATGACGTCTCCTTGGTTCACACAGGGCTTATATCAACACTCTCCCCCTCTTCCTCCAGCCCTGTCTCCCCAGACTCCCCTGTCAGCCCCCCACAAGCCACACCCATTAATTCTCCCTCAGGGAAAGAGCCCTGCGAAGATGGCCCTGCAGCTTCTCTCAAGATGCTGTGGGCTTGGGGTGGGGGAATACAGACGGAGATCACGCTGGGCACCTACACTAATGATTTCCAGCACCTCCGGAGGTAAATCCTCCATTGTGGGAGTTCTTGGGAGAAGGTGGCACGATGCCATGCTTATTGGGCACAAGAATCACTTGAATCAGTGCCCTCTACGGTTCTTTCTCTTGCCATCTTTTCCGTATTTGAAGGGGTTTCTCTCCCTGGAGAAGAGGAGAGTGAGTGAGTTGGGGTCAAGGGGGAGGTGATAAGAGAGAGTAAGAAAAGAGTACACGGGCTGGGCACAGTGGCTCACATCTGTAGTCCCAGCGCCTGGGGAGGCCAAGGCAGGAGGATCACCTTGCTCAGGAGTTCGAGACCAGCCTGGGCAACATAGTGAGACCCCCTGTCTCTACTAAAAAAAAAGGAGAAAAGAGGACAGGAAGACATGAAACAATCCCTATGCTTCCATTTTAAATCAAGGTATGTCCCCTGTAGCCATTATTTTCTCCTTTGTGAAATATTTTTTCCTCGGCTTCTTTCTGAACCCCATTTTGGTCATTTTCTGGGATGAATGACTGCAGAACGGAGGACTTCATTCTCCTCAGCTCTCCTGGCAATGATGGATCCTAGCACAGGAATTTGAAGCTGGATTAGATCAAAAGAAACGGGGCCAAAGTGTTTTGACTCATGCTAGATATTGACATGGTTGGTGTCAGGGTTTTGCTCTCCAGGGGCAGCCGATGCAGGTCAACACCTGCGAACACTGATTTCATCCTCTTTTGTTGGGTGATGGATGGTGAAGGTAGAGGATTAGGCAATGCTCCTGAACCCCACTGCCAGTTCCTCTTGAGGGCAGACCCCACACACACTGTAGCACAGTGTGGAAAGAGAAAAAGAAAATGTGTATTTTGCCTGAGGATAGCACGGCATTGGCTGTTCGGGCTTCTCCTCTCTGTGCTGGTTTTTTACATAGGTGGTCTCTTGGGCATCTCAAGAAGCTTGTTCTTAGGGCTTTCCCACCCGACCCTGGAAGATGGTCTCGTTCTGCTGCTAGAAAGCCTTGTTATTCAACAGGCTAACAGGTCACCTCACTGACAAAGCAAGTACATCTCAGAAAGAAATTATTGGCCAGGTGCCATGGCTCACGCCTATCACCCCAGTACTTTGGCAGGCCGAGGTGGGCGGATCAGTTGAGGTCAGGAGTTCAAGACCAGCCTGGCCAATATGAGGAAACCCCGTCTCTACTAAAAATACAAAAAAAAAAAAAAGCCAGGCATTGTGACAGGCACCTGGCATCTCACCTACTAGAGAGGCTGAGGCAGAAGAATTGCTTGACCCAGGGATGCAGAAGTTGCAGTGAGCTGAGATCGTACCACTGCACTCCAGCCTGGTTGACAGAGTGAGACTCTGTCTCAAAATATAAAATATATATACACACACAAATATGTGTGTGTGTGTGTGTGTGTGTGTGTGTGTATAGTAGATCACTTAGTAACATGTGTCTTTTAGGAGGCAAAACCAAATGCCCATAGCATTAGGAAAGTTTCAGTTGTCCCTTTTGTAAAAGTAACCCTGGGGGACTAAAGAAAAGGCCCACACTCCCAGGAAGAGGAAGGGGAGAACCTTTCCCAGGAAGCCTGGTATACCCACAGATGCCCTAAAACCCCCACGCTTCTCATAGGAACCAGTTCCCCAGCCGGCAGTGACAGGTGAGGGTCGCCACCCACTACATGGGAGTTGGAGGCCTTTGTTTTCCAGCTCTGGGACCCCGGGTGGGCGTTTCATCGTTGGTGCTTTGCTTTCCCCAATTATCAGCAAATAAAATTCCTGACTTCATTTATTGATTGGTCAAATGGCACCACGTTTGTGAAATTGCTTGAGGAAATACATGCCATCTTTTATGAATGTCAATGTTAATCTAGCATACTGTCCCTGGCCAACACTTGCATGAAGTTTAAGTTCTCTAAAAGGCCTCCAAATGAAATCAGAGATGAGGACATTCCCTTTGGGAATTACATTACAACATCTTTTTGTTTCCGGAATGTTCTTTATAGAACAGCAATGTGATTCATCTCTGATGGGCATCACACACTCTGGGTGAGTGATGGCTGGCGAGGCTGGGACAGAGAGCTACATAATATTTCTGGGCAGCCAGTTCTGGCTGGCATTCTGGCCACTGCTCACACTGTACTGGGACGTGCCAATCATTCCTTTCTCTGAAGAGCTTCAGCAAAGCCCAGGCCTCCCGGGTGATGTTTTCTCAACCGCAGAGAGACAAGTGCGGTCTAGTGGTTTGAGTCAGTGAGGGTGGGGAGCTGTGAGGGTTCAGGTGCTTTCCTGACACTTGGTTATTTTCTTTTCAGGGGGGCTGTGCAGATCATTTAAGGAAATCTCTCCTCCTTTCTCTCTGTTGTCATTCTCCCTCCCTCCCTCCCTCCCTCCATCAGCACTCCACACATATACATCAAGAAACCATTGTACCATCTAACACAGGGTGGAGGGAGGCTGTGCTGGTTGCTTATTTGTAGCTCCTTCAGAATGAGAAACCGCACAGGCAGCGATTATAACTGGTAACTTACATGCTGACCCAGAGATCACAAATGTCTGCTAGATCCCAGCAGCCTCTGAAGCAGAGCCAAGGAATGTCGTAGAGACTTTGCAGGAAAATATTTGAAAGCTCAAAATGTTTAGAGTAAACATTAGACACTTTCCCTCTGAACTCAGAGTGAGAACTTCTTGAATTGGCCCCCAATCCAAACGTCTTTCCTTATTCCTAAAGTTTTTTTTTCTCCCGGATGCAGTTCTCTATTCTATCTAGGGTCAAAGGCAGAGTAAAAGGGGGACAGGGACACTGAAGCCTTGCTCCCAGAATATCAGTGAGAAGACTGAGTCACATGTATCGGGAAAGACTTGCAGAGCAAAACGTTCCGGAGTCTGGGGTCTTTGCAAAGAGATACTCTCCCTGTCAGTGCCCATGTCCTCCTGGTCCTCTCTCCACTGAGTCTGTTAGGTCACTGTGATATTTTCATTCTAGAAAGAATCTGGGCAGGGCACGGTGGCTCACACCCTTAACCTCAGCAATTCAGGAGACCAAGGTGGGCAGGGGTTTGACACCAGCCTGGCCAACGTGGCGAAACCCCGTCTCTACAAAAAATACAAAAATTAGCTAGGCATGGTAGTCCATGCCTGTAGTCCCAGCTGCTCAGGAGGCCAAGGCAGGAGAATTGCTGGAACCAGGGAGGCAGAGGTTGCAGTGAACTGAGATCGGGCCACCACACTCCACCAGCCTGGGCAACAGAGCAAAACTCTGTTTAAAAAGAAAAGAAAAAAAATCTGGTAGTTTTCTAAAGCTTCCAGGAATCTAGCCCCCTTTAGGAAGGATGCCTTTTGTCCATATTTTTGTTTTAAGGTTGATGTGTGGCAAGAGTCCTGATATGGCAAGGGGGACAAGTTTTTCATGTGATTAGTGAGGTCCCCAAAATATCTGGTTGGGCCATCAATCTAACCTCAGCAAACAACAGCCAGGGTCTAATGCAGATCCCATTCTTGCTGCAATGGCCTTTACATAAATCATCTACTTTATTTTTTTTTTCTCATCTTGGTGTCTTTATTTATTTATTTATTTTGAGACAGAGTTTCGCTCTTGTTACCCAGGCTGGAGTGCAATGGCGCGATCTCGGCTCACCGCAACCTCCGCCTCCTGGGTTCAGGCAATTCTCCTGCCTCAGCCTCCTGAGTAGCTGGGATTACAGGCACGCACCACCATGCCCAGCTAATTTTTTGTATTTTTAGTAGAGACGGGGGTTTCACCATGTTGACCAGGATGGTCTCGATCTCTTGACCTCGTGATCCACCCGCCTCAGCCTCCCAAAGTGCTGGGATTACAGGCGTGAGCCACCTCCCCCCCGCCCCGGCTTCTTTTTGTTTTTTTAAGGTGAAGGTTGAGTTTGTTTTATTTATTGTTATCACAACTCTGGGATGTGGGTTGTAAGACCTCCATTTTACAAACAGGTATCTGAGATCAGGAAAGGGAAGGGTCAAAGTCCAATAGTGATTCACTAGGAAGTCAAGGTTCTCATTCAGGGGTTTTGTTTTTTGTGTTTTGTTTGTGTGTGTGTTTTGAGACAGTCTCACTCTAGCACTAAGGCAAGAATGAGATCACACAGTGGCGTGATCTGGGCTCACTGCAACCTCTGCCCCCCGCCCCCCTTCCCCCAACTGTTTCAAGTGATTTTCCTGCCTCAGCCTCCCGAGTAGCTGGGACTGGGACTGTGGGACTACAGGTGCTAATTTTTGTATTTTTAATAGAGACAAGGTTTTGCCGTGTTGGCCAGGCTGTTCTCAAACTCCTGCCCACAAGGGATCTACCCATCTCAGCCTCCCAAAGTATTGGGATGACAGGCTTGAGCGATCACGCACGGCCTCTAATTCAGGTCATTCTGACTTCACCCCACGTTGAATTGGTCTAAGCCTTCGTAAGTTATTGTTACATCACCGTTTGGGAGTGGGCTACTTTTTATTAAAACATGGGTCTCTGTAACAGAGTGGTGCAGAAAGAAAGTCATGGAATGTACATGCCATGCTTGCTTAGAGGGTAAAACTCAACCAGATGGGTGCAATTGATATGCTGTGTCAAAATGAAATAAAAGGCCCTTTTCCTTCCTTCTGCAGCAAGCCAAAATCCTTCGAGGGCCTGGCAGCCAGGATTGTTTTATGAACAGGGAAACTCCCCTGAGGAAGTCGACTTGGGTCTGAATGCAAGGAAGAAAGTTGAGGAAAGGTCCATGGGGTAGACAGGAGGGGGAGGGGGAGGAGGAAGAGGTTCACACCAGGTGAACATAATGAGCACCATGTCTCAGCAATGTTTGGGCACCACTTGTAAGGGTTATTGTCGAGTTTAAAATGAGGAAACTGAGGCCAGTATAAGAAAATTAAATGCCAATTTATTCAGCTCCCGGGCGAGGTTCTATGGTCTGGGGAAAGGGGGCCAGAGAAGTCACGCTGACTTCCTGGGACGTGGGGTTTTTATGGCTATGAGGAATGAGCAACAGCTGGGTGCTCTGATTGGCTCCAAGGGAGCGGGATTGGGACGGGGCGGGCCACTATTGGTTGGCAGGTTGTTGGGCAGGTTTTCTGGTGGGAGAGCAGGCCAGGGTTGCATCAGCCGGAGCCTTCCAGGGGAGCCATGCGGCAGAGCTAGGTGCCAAGCGCCGGGTGCAGAGTCAGGTACTGAGTGCAGAGGTGGGTGTGTCTGGCCTCCCGGCGAGGCAACCGGCCTTACATTCCGACCCTTTTGATGATATAGGACACTGCTCTTTCTGGCTACTTCCTGCGGAATAGGGACAGAGTGAGGGAGAAGGGTCAATTGGCTGGTGCCTCGATTGGGAGTCGGACATAGGGGTGAAGTAGCATCTGGTTTACGGCCACCCTGGAAATTTCTCTAATGCAGGCCTGTAAAACCTCAGGGAAAAAGAGGCTAGCATTACCAGAAGACAAACTACGATGATGGGAGTGATAATTGGGGTTAGCCAGGTTAGCATGGGGGATTGCCACCAGTTAAGAGGCGAGACTGATGCTTTCTGCTTCTTGCGGAGGTCCTCTTGGAGGCGATAGAGAGTGTTGCCATTTTCTTCTACAATGTCTGTTTCATTGACGTCATAGCAGCACTGCTCCTGAAGAAACAGACAGGTACCTCCCTTTTCTGCTGTCAGCAGGTCAAGGGCCCGTTGGTTCTGGAGAGTTACCTGGGCCAGTGACGTGATTTGTCGCTGGAGGGAGGCCAGGGAGGTGGCTGACACTTCGATAGCCATGTGAAGCTTGTCCTTTAGTTGAGTGACTGAGGTGATGTTGTAGCCTAGGGCAAGGAGGAGGAGGAAGATGGTTCACACCAGGTGAACAAAACGAGCGCCACGTCTCAGCGCTTCCTCTGGCCTGCAGATTTCCATCATGTTAACATGAGGTCAGAAGTTGTCCTTGCCAGTACTGACAGGAACATTGGGGGCAGAGGAAGGGCAGAGTTGCAGGCATCCAGACAGTCCTGGCTGGACAGATGAGGGCCCCTGGGCACGGAAGGAAGGCCGTACGGAGGGCATCCAGGAGCGGTGGGTCCACAGCCCTGCACGGCCTTCTCCAGTGCCCCCACACCTGCTTTCTCCCTTGTGTGGGAAAGACGTGGCATTCCACAGGCCAGGCACAAAGCCTCAACAGTGAACCTCGCCCAGTTCTGCCCATGTGTGTGCCGCAGAAAGGACAAATGAGCAAATGTGCAGGGCATCCCACTGTTTCTAGTTGTTTTCACGAAGTTCTGCATACAGGCAAAGCCTGTTGCCTTAAGTACACTCACAGAAAGTTGATTAAAGAAGGAATCAAGCAGACATTGGAATCACGTGTGGGAAATGCAAACACATTGTCACTACTAGAGATGGAAGCGGAAGCAGATAGCCCTAGAAAAGCTACTGCTTTGGCTGGTGTGGTGGTTCATGCCTATAATCCCAGCACTTTGGGAGGCTGTGACGGGAGGATCACTTGAGGTCAGGCATTCAAGACGAGCTTGGCCAACATGGCAAAACCCCATCTCTACTAAGAACACAGAAATTAGCTGGGCGTGGTGTGGTGGGGAGCACCGGTAGTCCCAACTATTAGGGAGTCTGAGGCAGGAGAATCACTTGAATCCTGGAGGCGGAGGTTGCATTGAGCTGAGATTGGGCCACTGCACTCGAGCCTGGGTGACAAAGTGAGACTCTGTCTCAAAAAAAAAAAATTAAAAATTAAAAGAGAAAAAACATTGCTTTTTGTAATGTAAATGTGAACTTGTTTTCTACTTAGTCTCACCTGCTGTGACTGTTAACCAAATAGAACCAATCACCGTGGACTGAAGGGAGTGGACTTTGAACCATAATAGGGAGACTTGGGCACATGCACTTAGATGTCAGAACACAAGCAAAGCACCGTGTCAAACGCTGGTTCGTGGGACCCCAGAACCCAAACGAGCAGTTTTTCCACAATCATGCACCCTGTGATTGCAGGTCTAGAGAGCTGTCACTGTCATTTCTCTCTCTTTTTTTTTTTTTTAAGAGACAGGGTCTCACTCTGTTGCCCAGGCTGGGGTACAATGGTGCAACCATTATGGCCCGTGTTGGCCAGCTTCGAGGCATTGCACAGCTCACTGCTGCCTCCAACTCCTGGACTCAAGCAATCCTCCTGTGTCAGCCTCCCAAGTAGTTGGGACTACAGGCATGCACCACCACACCTCGCTAATTTTTTAATATTTTGTAGAGAAGGGATTTTGCTGTGTCGCCCAAGCTGGAGAACCACTGTCACTTCTCTGTCAACTAAACTTTCCATGACCACATGGCTAACCCTTTAAGAGGTTTAAATCTCATATGTCATTCAGAATGCTGAAAATCATTTTTTCCTCCTTGTTTAAGCACCAAATAATTATAATCACATTATTTATTGAGAGCTGTGTTGCCAGGCAGACAAGGAGGGAGAGGGAAGGAATAATCTTCCTACACTTCCCTTTGACCAGAACCAACCCCTGGGTGGCGAGTAGCATCTACCCTGTTTTGTGGCTGGGAATAATGAGGCTCAGCAAGATGAAGTCACTCTGCCTCCATCAGGACGTTCTCTTAAGGACAACACAGTGCAGCCTACAGAATCTGAGGCGTAAAACGTCCCCCCTTGGTGCAGCTCTTGAGCTGCCTCTGCCCTTTGCAGAGAGTTTTGGTGATTAATGATTAGGCAGAGGGATGCAGCATGTCAGTCAGGGAGATAAGTCCCTTTGTGGAATGTTGAGAGGTGAGCAGGGGCGGGCAAGGTATGACTGTCTCCTCTGTGGGGTGAGCATCCCTTCTTTGACCTGCTGCTCTTTCCCTTCCAGTCCAAAATCCATGCGGCACGCAGTCTGAGTGAGATCGCCATCGACCTGACCGAGACGGGGACGCTGAAGACCTCCAAGCTGGCCAACATGGGCAGCAAGGGGAAGATTATCAGTGGCAGCAGTGGCAGCTTGCTGTCCTCAGGTAGGCAGGGGCCAGCTGGAGGGGCACTTCCTGAGCATGGCTGGGACCCCAGAGGGCACCCAGGAAGGCGGGGACAGCTGCAGCAGGGGACGCTGCTGGGCAGGCTGCTCCAGAGCTCGCTCTGGTTTCCAGGCCAAGGTTGGGATCCTGAGAAAACGTGAATCTGAGAAAACGGCTCCATAGAATCAAATAGTGGAAGGGAAAAAAAAGGATCAGTTGAAACATTCACAGCAGGAAGACCTGCTGGTCACATATCAGTCTCTTCAGGTACCCCCCAGAGCCTTTCAGAATGCCAGTGGCAGACTGGGGAATGTCAGGTCCAAGGGTGGAAAGTGGGGTCCGCTCATGTGCCCACTCGTGTGTTGTGAATTTCAGGGTCTGGTGCAGGGAGATGCTGCATTCTACTCCCAGGTGATTTCTCCAGGCTTTTAAAAATGCAGAATATTGTGTAGGAAAGGGCAGACTTGCTGTCACAGGGTGTGGTTTCTCCACTCAGTGCCTTTTGAAATTGCAGGTCAGAGATCTGGTTCCGCCGTGCATTTCAGCCACCCTTGGCCAAGTCATTTTGTCTTTTGATGTTGGGAGGGACAGAGGAGTTCCAAGGTCTTAGATCTGGCTGACCAAAAAACGGGGGTGCCATTCACTGAAATGGCAGGAGGAGGAGTGGGTTTGAAGGAAGCAGGGAGGGAGGGAGGGAGGCAGCCACGATCTGGAAATGTTAGAAAAGTGTGCTGTGGCTAGGCGCAATGGTTTACACCTGTCATCCCGGCACTGTGGGAGGCTGAGGCTGGAGAATCACTTGAGGCCAAGGAATTCAAGATCAGCCTGGGCAACATAGTGAGACACTGTCTGTACAAAAAAAAAATTATCCGGGTGTGGTGGCACAGCACCTGTAGTCCCAGCTACTTGGGAGGCTGAGTAGGGAGAATTACTGAGCCCTGGAGATTGAGGCTGCAGTGAGCAATGACTGCACCACTGCATTCCAGCCTGAGTGGCAGAGCGAGTCCCTGTCTCAAGAAACAAAACAGAAAGAAAAGGGCAACATGAGGAAAACCCTGACTGATGTAGGAGCTGTGCAGCTGTCTCTGAGCAATGCAAAGAAAGCCGGAAGTCTTCCCCAATAATTTATATCACTGTATATAGTGGCTGCAAACAACAACAAATGAAAAAGGAAAAGACAGGAGAGGAAAAGGAGCTAAAAACGTCTCCTTAGCTTCTGGCTGGCGTGATCCAATCAGAGCCAGGAAAAAGTTTAAAGGACCAGGCAGAGGACAGATATCCTTCCTGGACTGAGAGGCGAGGTTACTGTTGGGGTCAGTGGAGCGCTAAGGTCAGCGCCCTTCCTTGGACAGGCCACGGCCCTCAGGGGACCTTAGCCATGTATTCACACAGTCATGTGTTTCTGCAAAATCTGTGAACATAATATATTTTGTATTATTTTTCTTAAATAGAACTGCTGAAGGGCGGGTGTGGTGGCTCAAGCCTGTAATCCCAGCACTTTGGGAGGCTGAGGTAGGCGGATCACCTGAGGTCAGGAGTTCGAGACCACCCTGGCCAACATAGTGAAACCCCATCTCCACTAAAAACACAAAAAGTAGCCAAGTGTAGTGGTGCATACCTGTAATCCCACTACCCGGGAGGCTGAGGCAGGAGAGTCACTTGAACCCAGGAGGCTGAGGTAGGAAAGTCACTTGAACCCAGGAGGCAGAGGTTGCAGTGAGCTGAGATCGTGCCACTGTACTCCAGCTTGGGCGACAGAGTAAGACTCTGTCTCAAAACAAAAGAAAAAAACCCACTAAAATTATATAAGCTTCAGGTCCCATAAACGTAGATCTGCCTCGGCCGCATCATCTGGGGGCCACTGTCAACCCCATCCTGCTTGGGTCCTTCAAAAATGTTTCATCCAAAAAATGGGCTCAATGCTCATCCTTTTTGAGGCTTGGGAGTTTACAATGAAGACTGCAGAGAGTGTTGTCTTCTAGAATCACAGAGAATGAAATTCTAAGCTGAAGACCCCTACCTCGAATTACAGCCACTCCCAGTCTCCTGCCAAATGACCCAGAGCAGATAGAGCCAACACCTTGTTTGTGTTTTAAATACAGCCTACTCTCGTTTTTTCCCTAACCCTGTGAAAACCCAGCGTCAGATTAGAGGCTGTCAGCCCACCTTCCCCCTTAGCATAGGGAATCCGGCTGGCTCCAGCTTGGATTCTTCAAGCTCGGTGCTTCTCAAACCTTGGTGTACATCAGAACTGCTTGTAGGGCTTGTCAAAACACCTCTCAGAGTTCCTGATTCTGTAGATCTGAGGGGAGACTGAGAATTTATACCTCTAGCAGGTTTCCAAGTGAGGCTGATGCTGCGGGTCTAGGCACTTTACTTAGAGAGACTCTCTTGTTGCTGTGGAAGACACAAAAGCTTGAGGTGGGTGAGTTCAGGATCCTGGCACCCAGGTATGCCCACTTTTAAACCTGTGTCCTGGTCCATCTGCATGGGCCCCCTAGTGTCTGGCAGACTCCCAGGGGTCACCAAGGCAAGAGTTTACCTTAATAGCAGCTATAGATGAAGCTGTGAACAGGACCCCCAAACCTCCTGAGATGAAATTGATATCACACACCCATCAGAAATGAAACCTGGCTGGGCGCAGTGGCTCGTGCCTGTAATTTCAATACTTGGGGAGACCGAAGCGGGTGGATTGCTTGAGGCCAGAAGTTTGAGACCATCCTGGCCAACATGGTGAAACCCCATCTCTGCTAAAAATACACAACTTAGCTAGGCGTGGCGGTGCACACTTGTAATCCCAGTTATTTTCAAGGCTGAGGCAGGAGAATCACTTGAACTCCAGAGGCAGAGGTTGCAGTGAACCGAGATAATACCACTGCACTCCAGCCTGGGGGCAACAGAGCAAGATTTTGTCTGAAACACACACACACACACAGAGAGAGAGAGAGAGATGAAATCCAAGCATCTTTAAGACTTGTTCATCTCTATGACTGCCCGCAGGCTGGACACTGCTAATCAATCTGGTGGGCTAGAAGATAAATCCTTAGAAAAACGTTTTGCTTAATCCACCCATACACCGAATATATAAGCATCGGTATGCCAAAACATTAAAGTGATTTTCAAATGCTTAATCATTTGGCGCTGGGGCCCCAGGCTAAGGTGATTAGGTGTTAGTAGGAGCAGCTGGGGCCACTTGCAGAGCGGTTCCCATTATCCGTTTCAGTGCCCTCAGCCCTTTCTGCTGCTGCACAGCTGAGCAAGAAGAAACCCTAGTGAGAAGGTGAGAAAGCCCCATGACTCAACCAGAGGGCAGGTCCGACTCTTCCCAGCCCTGCAAGTTTGAGCCTGCAAAACATCCTTTAATGCCAGGGTGGAGGCTCCTTGGGGTGCCCCACACCCACCTCCTGTGACTTAGGAGCACCAAGACATTGGAGGGACACACTGCAAACAGGAAACATTCCATCAGGGAACAAAGGGAATTTCTAGCATCTCTCAGTCTTGTTCTCCCTCCCGCTGGGACGGCTCATGGCTGCCAGTCTTTCCTTGCACCAGGAGGATAAAGCTTTCCCCTGATGAAACCATTGGCAGTGCCTTCTGAAAGGGGTTGCTTTCAGACCCCTTGCAATGGGGAAATCTAGCCTTGGCCTGAAGATCTAGGCGGCTGGCTCACCTCCACCCCTTTCTTCCGGCCTTTCTGCCCTCTTGCCTAGAATGTGTTCTGGCAAAGAGGACAAGCCCCACTGCTTGTTAACACTCTTCATATTACACTGGCTGCATTTTGTTTTCTGGTGTCCATTCAGAAAAGGTGATGCACATAACCCAGTATCCCATTTATCCAATTTGGTCAACAGTTTTCTCTTTCACCTCCTTGGTAGATGGTATCTGATAAATGTTTCTTAAAAGCATTTTGAGAAACTAGTCACCATTTGAGAATTTTCTAACACTGGCCCAGTGCCCAACACCCAATAAGTGTTCAATGCACAGTTACTGAAATTAAACTGAAGAATACTAGTAAGATTCCTGCGTGTGCTGAGCTCTAAGAATCTTCAGCTTATCACAGTGGCTCACACCTATTTGGGAGGCGGAGGAGGAAGGATCACTTGAGACCAGGAGTTCCAGATCAGCCTGGGCAACAGAGCAAGACCCCATGTGTACCAAAAAAAATCTTCTTTTTAATATAGCTGGACCTGGTGGTGCATGCTTATATTTCCTGCTACTTGGGAGGCTGAGGCTGGAGGATCACTTGAGCCCAGAAGTTCAAGGCTATAGTGAGCTGTGATGGCATCACTGTACTACAGCCTGGGTAACAGAGTAAGACCCTGTCTCAAAAAACAAACAAAAAAAGAATCTTCTAATCTTCTATGTTCGTAGAGTTTATGGAACCTTGGGCCTTGCTGAGAACTCTCATAGGATCTGCCACCAGTATTTTTTCCCAAATTCTATTGTAAGCCTTTGTCACACTGGTATGAGACCTTTGAGGTTGTGTCACGTCAGTCCCCTCCTGCAGTGGTATCCACCTTTGTCATCTTTCATTCGTTCTCCGACCGTCATCTATACCCAAATCATGGTGTGTCTGAGCAGCGTCACAACCCTGTAAGATTTCTGTGGAATAAACGTTTCTGCCAGCTCCCAGCTCTGCCACGTACTGTACACAGCATTTTTTTTTTTTTTTTGACAGAGTTTCAGTCTTGTTGCCCAGGCTGGAGTGTAATGGCACAATCTTTGCCATTGCAACATCTCCCTCCAGGTTCAAGCAATTCTCCTGCCTCAGCCTCCTGAGTAGCTAGGATTACAGGCATATGCCACCACTCCCAGCTCATTTTTTGTATTTTTAGTAGAGATGGGGTGTCTCCATGTTGGTCAGGCTGGTCCTGAACTCTCAAGCTCAGGTGATCCGCCCACCTGGGCCTCCCAAAGTGCTGGGATTACAGGCATGAGCCACCGCGCCCGGCCCTATACCCAGCACTTTAAAAACTTATAGCCCATCTCTGCAAAGAGTT